CACTCTTAAATGTTATATATTCTTTATAGATTCCGATGAAAAAAATGCTAGCGTAAACATTACTCTCACGAGTTCAATGTATCGCAACATATATTGTATTTTTCAAAATTACATGAGTTATGCTATTTTGGTTTTGATACTTTTACATCTAATGAGACATTCTTGTTGCTGTAACTTATTTAATTTTGTGTGACGTGTATGTAAATATTTCTTGAGAAGAGAATTGAATTTTGAATAGCTGTTTATTCTGGCATTGCAAGAGTATAGAAACGATTCTGACCGCGTTGTGTAGTATAGAGATTTTTGCGTATCATCTGTAGGTTCGTCTCCAGCTAGCACAAATTCATCACAAGGTGCCAACCAACCACCACCACCAGGATTACACAATGGATCTCAAATGCAACTCAACCATCGGTCGATCTTTCAGGCGGACAATAACAGTTTCTTCAGTTCAAACACCTTTCAGAAAATACCAACCACCACTTCGATGCCACTAAATTCCCTCGCAGGTGTATATATATATATATTTATTTATATAAGTTCTATACCTTTGTTCTTTTGCTATTATTGTTTGTCACTTGCTTTCTTTAGATAAAGATTCTAAAAAAGATGATATTTTATTTTCAAAAAAAGCCTAACGAAAAAGAATTAAAAAATTTTTAGCTTTATCTAGATGCTTTTGTTCTCTATTTTTCCATTTTTTGTAATCAGTGAAAAAATTACCAATGAATTTTTTTTTTTTTCGATATGTAGCAAATACAAATCTAGATTGGACGAGCACGGGAGTAGCTACGATACCCGATTCCTTACCGACAGTTCATTCTAGCGAAGATTGGCAGGCTGCTTTCGGCTTCCAGCCTGAATCTCGAACGAACCACATTATATCAAAATCCAGCCCAACTGATTCACCGGGAGTAACGTTCAACTCCGAGGGTTTTGTAGATGAGGAGGCTTATATAAATGCACCTTACACCGCTGCACTCACAGAACCGTCATCTGGTACCTTCACGTCTAACTTACTTGTAAATTCATCTGCATCTAAATTTATGGCAGACTTTCAACAAAATTCATTACAACAAAGGCTTAATATACAGGTGAGCGGAATTATAATAAAATTCACAATAACGAATAGTAGAGGACCGGGCTAAATGAGAGTCAGCAGGCGCGGTAAACAGTGTGCAAAGGTTCCTTTATAGAATAATGTTCGTACGTTTCGGCCCAGGTTTCGGACCATCATCAGCAAAAGATAAATCGATGGAAATGTTTTGAGCTATCGCCCTTAGCTCCTCTACTACCCGTGGATTTCCAACAGAGTTTTATACAACCATTTTATAATGAAATAAAATATTCTGTCTAAAAAAAAGTAAAAAGACGTTCTTTGTACATATATGCAAAAGTTTTTTGGAGATTAATGTATTACTGTGTTACTAATATTAAAAATAAAATTTTCAAGGCGCAACAAACTCAAGAAAATTGTGAGTACGCAAAACAGAACGGCCACGCTACAATCGAAGAAATCCGGAATCATCGTGACGCAGGCTCAGAGGTGAAACCGGACGACGATTTAGGTTTCGACCCTTTCCACGAAACGCAGAAAGCATTAGCAGAACTTTTAGAAGACGAAATGCAGGTGCAACAGCAGAAGATATTCCAGCAGCAACAGCAGCAAAGAGAACGAGAGGAGCAAACTAGGGTGCAGCATCACCAAACTCTCGCGAGCCTTAACCAACAACACTTTCCACAAGTAAATATCCTTATCGAAATCTCGAAAAAGGATACTTTTATTTCTATTAGTACGTAGTAAATTAACATTTAATAAAACTTGATCAAATTTTAGGACTATAATTTAGTACCTTACACGAGATATAGAATTGAATGAAACTTACGGAGACAAATATTGTTTTAGGTTGCGCATATAGCACACTTGCAGCAACAAGCTCAGCACTTGCAAAATCTACAGGTGCTTCAGTCGCATTCCCTCTTGTCCCGTCTTCCGCAAAATCTGTTACCAAGCGGCGCACAGAGCCCAGCACAGGGCACTGTAACGGCTACCAGTTTAGGACAGCGCAGTCGACTCCCGCCACCGGGTTTTCCTGGTTCCACGCCAAATCACATGAACTCATTCGGTCTCGGTATACCACGACCAGCACCAACGAATAGTGCCCTCTCTGGTTAGTGTTCCTCCAATTTTTCCATCAGGGATCAGGAATCATAGTGCACAGTGCGTGAAGTTTACATACGTATACGATAATCTATCGTAGCCGTAGACACAAAGATAAATTTTTAATTCGCGGATTTCTATAAAAAAGTAAAAAGATCTGTAAACATCTATCGGTCTATAAAGAATCACGAACGTGTAGATTTAGATATTGGTGGGATATTGCTACTCGCGATTTATTGACAATCCGTCCAATGTTATGCTTGCAGGAGCGCAGCCACCTCAGCAGAGTGCGTACCTTCCGAACGGAAGCCCACTTCTCAACACGCAAAGTAATAATTTTACTTATTAATCTTTCATATTCGGATATTTTTAATATATTTGTAGTTTAACATATTGGATCAATTTTTCATACAGACATCGGCAAGTGCACGGGCGACGCGGTTTATACCCTGAAAGATTGGTGTGAGATTAATAATCAACAACAGCAGCAGTTCCACCATCAAGCGTTGCATCAGAAAGGATGGAACAATTTCGGACCTATCGCAGATTGGACTTCGATTGATCCGGCTATAGTTACTTCGTCTAGACCTCTTCCATTCCAAACTACCAACGCTTGGCAGTTTTCCCACATTCATCCTTCTCATGTGGTGGCCCATAACGCGCAACAGGTAACGAAGTTTTGTGTTTTGTTTATTTTTGACGAATGGTTTTTTGAGTAACAACTCGTCATAGAATATAACAACGCGAATTTTATTTACTCTGTACGGAATATATTCTACGTCAACGATGCATGCAAACGTTAACTATTTATATTTTGTGCGCAGGAGCAGAACGCACCTGCTCAGCATTGGGCGATGCAACCACCTCCTGGCTTCGCTGCGCCTACAACTACAGGACAGCTGAATAATCCGCAGCCGAGCACGACCGCACAACCGCATACCAAGCTCATCTCTGCAGGGTCGGAAATCGAAAGTAAGTTGATCGCGATCAAGCTCCGTGCAAACTAATAAAAAGAACAAAACAAAGATACCCTATAATGCGCGGTATCGAGATACATAGGCCGTCTATATTGCAGACCTATAAGTCTGATGCGTGAGGCGAACGAGTCGAGGCGTCGTAATGTTTCCGGACGTGGCAAGATCAAATCCAGCAAATGAAAGAAAAAAAGCGACAGTCGATAATGTACGTTTTCCTAACGCTTCTATAATAATCTTTCAACATTTGATTTCCAATCTCCATTTATTTGTGCGAGTATTTAATCGAATAAAATATCGGAATAAAATATGAGTTAATGCGTACTCATCGATGTAAGCGAAGATTATACGTCAATACATCTTCCTCATGATATTATTTTCTGAATTATAGCAAAATTTATCATATTTAAGTCGGACTATCGTTATAAGCGAAGTTTATGTAAGATATGAAATATTAAACGGATGAATGATTAAGATGTCAAGAAGTGATCAAGATAATTGCAAGTACATTTCCTTTCTGAATTCTTATTATCAAAATACTATTTTCTTCAAAACGTATTAAAATTGAAAATTAATATATCCTGTGTTTTATAAGCTTTATGAGATGAAGAAAAAATACAGCAGAAAACTATTAGAATGCAAATGTAATGAAACTTCCTGAAACGTTTTCTATTTTTATATCTGTCAAAGTTAAAAAATGTGTTTTAAATTAAAAGCTTTGTTATCGCATATCTAAAAGTTCTATTGTTATATCGAAAGAATTGTTATATATATCTATATATATTTTTGTGTGTGT